TACGATTTCATTTTTGTAAAACGATGACAAAATTGCACATATGAATATATGTATGCATGCAATTATATGAACATGGAATAAATATAGAAGGATGCATACTAGGTTGTGAATATGAGTTACCCAGATAGGGGGTGCTATGTGCGGAGAGGGTGACTAGAGGGGAAGAAGTGGTAACAATGCAATACAGGGACTGCTGAGACAAACCCTACTTAAAAAGAAACGCATGATGTGTCACGTCTGCAACTGACTTTCAGATGGTTCAGTAAGAATGTATGTGTATACATATATAATTTCATATCTACATACATAAAGATGGACAGATAAAACAAATAGGATCAAATGGTAACCGTTTATTATATGATGCATAGTTATTTCTCGATTTTGAAATGGTTTCGGTTTTGCGAACAGACAGCCAAGTTTTCTTGCAACAGTTTTTAAGGGGGCTATTTTGAGAACCAATATTAAGAAAAGAGGCATTACGGTTTTGCGTATTTTTGATTATCATTATAGTGTATTAATAAATTCCATTATGAAGAATTAATGGGCATTCTACTGAAAGGTACACTAGCTTATCAAGGCACAGGGTAAGCTTATAGCATACACAGTGGCACACAAATCTGGAGGAACTAATCCATTAAATGAGACTACCAGAATTTTTGATGTTGTGATAGCTGGGCTACCAAATGCTGTGGCAATCCCACCAATGTTTATACACATCAGAATCTCTACCAAAAGAGACTAACACTCAGGAGGCAACCAGGGGAATGACCACTCCAGTCCCTACTCTCTTAAATATCATATTTCTCAGTAAACAGAAAGAACAGGAAGTTGGGACTGGCTATTAGGGACAAGGGTCACATTAGAAAAAAAGAAATTTTCTTTGGCTTAACTTAAAAAAAAAAAAAAGGTGAGCGGAGGAGCTTTGCAAAAAGAAAAGAGATTTAAAATGTATTTGCCTTTAATTATGGTACCCATGCAATTTTTTTTGAAGACTGGAACATATAATCTATAAAGTCTATAAACTATAATCTATAAAATCTATAAACTATAATCTTCTATCTATGCCCCATCCTGAGGACAACAGTGACATCAGCCTGCTAAAGCTACTCCACAACTTCCAAGCCTCAATTCACCTACCCCTCGCCACTAAAAAAAAGTTCAAAGCAGCCAAAAATGCTAGGTATTTTTAATGCAAAAAAGGCTCCCTTAGGTATCTATTGAGGCCATCATTTTCCTATGAGAGGAATGTGAGGCTGTCCCTCAAAATGTGATCTTTGAGCAGCCACAGCAAAAGCCGGGCTTCACTCTTCAGCCCTTAGGGCCCCCAGCTCCCAGCCCCCAGCTCTGCTCCTCTGCGCAGACATGAATGAAGTCATGGTTTCAATACATCAACGCTGAATGTTAACTTTATACTCTGATCCATTTGTGTCTAACTGAAGTAAAAAATCCATCTAATATAGGGTTTTTTTTAGAATGAAATAAGATATATTTAAAAATTTGTAAATTGTAAAGAGTTGATGTTATAAAAATAAGAACTGGTGGAGAAAATCAATCTGGGTTATGAAATATTTTTTTAAAAGGTCTTTTAGCTTTCAGTATCTGGGACAGAACAAACAAATAAGCACCTAGTAGAAATCCTTGCAGAATGTGTTTTCCTAAATTTAAAAAATTCTCTCATTTCCTCATTAAACAAGTAATATATGCCAATTTTTTAAAAGGAGAAAAGTAACAGAAAAGCTATGTCACTTTACCTAATAAGACATTCACTGTTAACATTTTGGTATTTTCCTTCTCATCTTTTATTTGTATTTGGGGTCTGTTATTTTTCTTTTAAACACAGATGTAATCAAACTAAACATTACTATTTATGTCCTGTTATCTTAAGCATTTCCCATGTTGTTGTCAATCGCTTGCTATATGTTATTCCATCAACTGTAACTCAGAATTAGCTGAACATATATCATGGAATTACTGACAGTTTCATAACAGTCTCTGAAATATTTAGTTGGAGATAAACATATGAAGAATTCCAGGCTTCTAAAAGCTAAACTTAATTTCTGGCAAGCATACTGGTAATTATAACCAAAAGCCAAATATTATGGAATCCTTTTTTTAGACTAAGCAATCTTACCACTCAGCATATATAATCACTGAAATACTTTCTGCATAATGATATCTGTTTAGCTACTGGCAACCATAAATGTCCCTGAAAGCCAGAGAAATGTAAAATTTCTCTAATATGATTTGCAAAGTAAAAGTTACATCTGAGCAAACTGAAATATAAAGCTGGTCTTGAACACAATATTTATTCTGAGAAAATTCATACTCATATACTTTCCACCTATTAGAAGTAGCTATAGAAATCATCATATGAACCAATCAATGCTAAAATTTTTTTATCTACTAAATAAGTTTGAGTTCATATAAGCATATCAAAGTATTTTTAAATTCTATACAAAATTATTGAGGGGAAATTATTTAAATGTTCAAGAAAAGATATTTGTGTACCCTTACGGCACAAGGAAATAAGGAAATGCTCAAAAAACAAACTGGTGAGAATATGCCAAAGGGACACAGGAGCCAACCCAAAGAGCTCTCAATGGCCAAAGCTAAAATAACTGGAGCAACAAAATAAATCAGTACTGGATTATAAACCAAAGTAGAAATAAATATCCATGAGTCCATACCGATATAAGTGAATGATTGATTAAATAAACGAGAGAGAACAGACAAACCTACTATATAGAAAAAAATCCAAATAATTTATATAAATACAAGCTCCTCAAGAAGGTAGAGTATAGCTCCCCACCCTTTAAGTGTGGGCTGCACACAGTGATGGGGGAGTGCTTTACACTGAAAAACCTGACAAACACTACCTCAGCCAAGTGATCAAGGCATCAATAGTGATAATTCATGTTGATGGCATGTACCACTGATGATGTGTTGAGAATGGCATTTTATCTCTTTGGTCGTCCTCTCAAGAACCTATAATCCCCATCTAACCATTAGAAAAATATCTGACAAACTGAAATTGAGTGATATTCTCCATTCTACAGAATACACTAGTACTCCGTAAAATCATCAAGCTCATCAAAAACAACATCTGAAAAACTGCCATAGTTCACAGGACTCTAAGTGGGTATGATGACTAAATGTATTATGGTATCACAGGTGGGATCCCCAATATTAGGTAAAAACTAAGGAAATCTGACTAAAGTATGGACTATAGTTAATAATAATGTAAAACAGAGCTTCATTAATCCTAACAAATCTCTCATACTAATGTAAGATGTTAATAATAGGGGAAATGATATGAGGTATATGGGAACTCTCTGTAACATCTTCACAACTTTTCTGTAAATCTAAAACTTTTCTAGAATTATATATGATTCTAATGGATATATAGGTATAGACAGATCGTACACACATCTAAGTTTCAAAAGTTCCACTGTTAGAACACTTCCTGGCACTCAATACACACTTCTGGAATGAATAAGTGAACACACATGTTTTGTGGTACTGGTTTTATTTCTACAATTCCATCCACAAAAAAGAGTCATAAAGGAAAAGTATTACCTAATACTGGCCAAGAAATTAGTACGCATTCATTGACAGATCTAAAAACTATGCTGGATGCTGGGTATTGAAATACAAAACATGAAATTCACAGTCTAATTGTGAGGAAGAAAGCTGAGAATGATAGCTGATAATGACAGAAAATGATTAAATATAAGGTACTTGTTCTGGGTATCGTGGGAGTATATACCAGGGGCACCTAATCTTGCACGAGATAGTGAATGGCAAAGGATTCATAAGCAAAGAAAGTCAGGCAGGCCCAAAACAACTGATGTATGGGAGACAGTGCTATTATAGAGACTTATAAGGGGAGACCTAATGAGGATGGTCAGGAAAGGCCTTTGTGAAAAAGTGATTAAGCTGAGAACTGAGAAATACGAAGGAACAAGTCATGTGAAGCGAAGTTGGAGGAAAATTACAGGTAAAAAGAAGAGTAAGTGTAAAGATGCTGAAGTAGGAAAGTGTCTTAATGCCTAGATTATATTGTCTATTTAAATGCTGAAATGAAAAGGCTGGTACATAAACGTGTTAGTGCCTGAATGAGTTCATCAAACACCTCTCAGGCTTACAGAAGCAGGAACCTCAGCCTGTTTAGCACCTCCCAGAGATGTACAAAGGGGATTCCTTTCTTTAAACTTTGCAGAACTACTTAGATATATATAAATACCAAGGCCCCTGACAGTCAATGATTAGGATGACACTGGAAGAAATCATCAGTGGGGATACATCAGAATAAAAAACTTAAAAGGAGCGAGCTTTCCAATATCTCCCACTCCCAAGGGGCCTAATAATAGCCCTTGAATTCTTTGTTCTATTCCTTCTGTTCTGTGCTCACCCGGATTCAGTAAGTAAGGGTCTATTTGTTTGTATTTTAGGCAATGTAATGTTTGCAAAACAGCAACAATAATCAAGGACACAATGTGGCTTCTCTCACTCAGGGGAAGTAAAACTGTGGAATCCTATGAGGGCTAGAAAATTACATAAAAAAGAAATATGCAATAAATTCTCCTTCATATAATAGGTACTAGGCAAAATTACTTTTACATATGAATAATTGCAGCAATAAACACCAATAAAGCAGGAGTAATGGCATCATTAAGAACAGCCAAATAATTCAGGCAATGAACAGACCACCAGTGGTCCCCAGAATCAGTCTACTTCACCATTACTGGGAACATACCATTATGAATAAATGAAAACCACAGGAAATGCTCATTTTCTCAAGATTTGTATGCTTATGAGGAGGTCAACTGCTGTGGATTCCAGGAGAGAATGTATTTCTAGCATTTATGGTCCTGAGAGAATGGGCAATGAGTAACTGATTGGAAATCAAGAGCAAAGGAGAAAAAGAAATGTGTCAAATGTCAACTCATACCTAGGAAATGTAAAATGTTCTCTGATTATTCAGTATATAGAACACCTACCCAAATACCTTCATTGATGAAACCATCTCTGACACACCAGTTAAAGAGTCAACATGTACTGAGCCTTATATACAATGTCCTGCAATCCGCTGTGGAATTCTGGGGAAATAAAACATAAAACATATGGCAAGTCTCTTTAAAGACACAGAGATCCAAAGGTGGTAAATCAATTGGCTTAGAATACAAATGAGGATTTTATCATAAAAACAATTTCCACACATAAAGTAATTAGGTTCTCAGGCCACCCACAAAAATTTCTTAGCCTACTCTTGCTGACCGGAAATATAGAACTAAGACTGCTATATAACACAGCCAACTGGAATTTTTATTATATCTATGAGAAAATGCAATCCTAGTTCACTACAGATGGCAAGCCCTGACTCCTTGCAGGCATCAAAGCTCTGCCCAGCGACAACCCTAAGTGCCAGGGCAGCATCAGGGCCATTAAAGACTGACCAATTCTCTTCTACAGTGGCAATTTAAACTTAAAATAAGTAAAATTAAATAAAACTAAAATATCAGTTCTTTGCTACCACATTCCAAGTGCTCAATGGCCACATGTGGCTATAATGGCTATCACATTGGACAGTGCAAAAAGAGAACATTTCCATCATCACAGAAAGTTCTACAGGACAGCACTGCTTTATATCTCTATGAGAAAGGTTTCTCACTTTTCTATAGCATCATAAAAGAAAGCAACTCTATGTGGATAGATGGTGATGATGATAGAACAATGTGAATGCATTTAATGCCTCTGAACTGTACTCTTAAAATGGTTGTTAAGGTGGAACGTGTTATGTTATATGTATTGATCACCAAAAAAATAAAGCAGCTCCCTGTTACACTCTCTCCTTATATTCCAAGGCATGGCATAATTTGCAACTGGTCACTAAACTGGATCTCCTTTAAGTGTGTGTCATGCCAAAGCCAAGATTTTGTAAGTGGCTGATAGCATACAAAAAAAAAAAAAGAAAAAAGAAAAAAGAAAAGGCCAATTCCTGCAGTCCACTTCTACTGTCCATGCTTTGGTTTTCTGAGTTTTCACATGTCCTTGGTTGGGTCTTAGATAAATCTACATTTTATTTCAATAGCATTGTAATTAGACCCCTTCTCAAATCTTTCTCTCTCTCTCTCTACACACACACACACACACACACACACACACACACACACACACTTCTTTCCTTCAGAGCTATATTAATGACTCAGCACTGACATCAGTGCCACCAGTGACATCTTATTGGCTTTGGATATGTGGAAATATGGATGCAAAATGATTGATCAATTCTGAAAAAAGAACTGAAATCAACAGGAGAAATAAGATGGGATGGAGGAATACACACACAAAAAAACTCCTTTAAAAATTCAAATTAGTAGTAAATCGGTTTGCTAGAACAAGAGCAGCAAAAAGCCTTGTGTGTACGTGGGGGTGGGGATGGTCAATGCCCCCAAAGTAAGAATACCTTGAAATTGCTGTAATTACTTACAAACCTCAGTGCTCCCTAAATTATGAAATCTTACTCAAGAGTCCTGCCTTAAACCTATTAGAGGGTTTACATATTATGTATACTCCCTATCTGGGGCATAGTTGATATATGCAATGTCTTCTAGAAACACAATTTCCCACATAAACAATACCTATACATCCAATGAGGTCCAAGAAGGAAAACAAAGCTACCGGAACCACGGCCAACTTTATCACTATATGCCCATCTTAGGTTTTGTTTTAGAATTTTCTTTATATGTAGAAAAATACTAACTTCATCAACCATGCTTAAGTCATAAACACTGAGTTTTCTGTGGTTCTGCTAAACCACCCACATTTGCTTTCCTAATCCCGCCAGTCAGCAGTCTATAAACATGGAACAACTGGCCTTTGAATGAAGCCAACACGCCTGAAATGGCATCATATGTGTGATGTGGGCTTGTATGAACCATCTGGCAACCCACTCAGATTCACTGTTGATGCTCACTCTCATTCAATTCTCAAATCTTAAACTTAAGAGCTATTTGCAAATTTCCATTCAGGGCAAAGTTTCTGTTAAATCTGTTAAGACACAGTGGGGCAAACTTAAAGACTTTTTTTAAGGTGAATTCAAGATCACAGTCTGTCCTCAATACACGGTAGCTATTATTTATTATAGTACTACACTCTTCATCCAAACTAGCTCTATCCCCTAACATCACCTCTGCTAGTATGCAGATTCATTGACCCCATATACTCACTAATTATGACATCTTAGAGCATACTCTATAGCCACCCAGTGCCCCTGCCCCTTTCCAGTTGGCCCCTTGCCCTGCTAATACTGAGACCAGTTCCATATAAGTCTAGATTAAAAGTAAAGAACCTGCTCTAAAATGACACTAGGGCATATGCTGGTACACACACCTCAGGGAAAGATTTATACAATGGTTCACTTTTGTTTACTTTTAACCATTTTCAGAAAAATATTTCACTAAGAAACTCTAACCTATTTTCTCTTGGACTGTCAAAAAACATAAAACAAAGTGAGAAAATTCTAGGCCAGAGAGCAGATCTGAAAAATAGCCTAAATTTCATTTAACCCAGGGCAAAGCTTCTAAAACCACATGTCTACTGGTTTTCTGAGTGCTTTAAAATCGTCACATCCAGTTATGCATGTGTCTGAAAAGTCTCAGCATCCTACCAGGGCTACCTTCGCCCCTTAGTATTTGATTCTCATGTCACTTCTCAAATTAGGAGTCATGAGTACAAAAAAGAAATCAGTTTCTGCTAGGTGGCTGTGATGATGGTGGCTATAATAGTAGGTGGCTTTGTTGTGGGTAGAAAAGATATTGCCCAGTTGTGATCACATAACTCTATATCTTGCTAGTTCAGGCCACCCACACCTGTTAAGCTGGGAGTACTCCCACCACCCACTCATCCCTAAAGCAATTCGGACCTTATGGATTCAAATTTCCATTCTACCTATTAGGACCAAGAGGCAGAGAGAGACTGGATGTTAGATGCACATAATGAGAAGAATCTCCCACACTCGTGCTCTCGGCTATTCCAAGGACTTACTAGAGGTTAAGCCAAGTCCTTCTAAATAATAAATAAGTACATTCATTTTGCCCAACTTTAGACTTAGGGATGGATAAGGGGGATAACTGCTTTAGCTATAACCAAGGATCAAGCCACAGAAAAGTAGATATGTTAAGTGGAAATAAGGAAGCTGGTCCTAGCTGGGTCAACAAGGATCAGAGTCCAAGGTCAAAGCAAGCAATGAGAATGATTACACATGTCAAGCCAATCATAACTGGTATGGAACCAAGAAGGAGGGAATCCTGGCCCTTTCAAAGATACCAGGAGTTGAGATAGGTGTATAAAGAACAGGGACTGGACAGATATCAAATGTGATTCAGGTGAAAGGAAAGTAGGCCCAGAGCTAGTTAGAGACGGCAGAGATACTAAACAAACAGGACAAGACTTAGGTGGCTGGTGCCGGGGAGCAGTATTAGGGATAAAGCACTAAAACAGAATATGAGATACCTTATCCGCAACATGAAATACTGTAAGATGACAAAGATAGTCTACAGTTTCTTAAGGAAAAGCTCCTTCAAACCAGAACTCTATGCCCAGCAGTGATCATTCAAGTATGTGGACAAAAATAAAGACATTTCATTTAGAAGCATGTAAGGTAAAAGCATCAGGCATATGCTGTTGCTTTATCGGACATGATAAATAATGCACAACTAATGCAAAATATCAATTTCATCCTGTCTCTAGTTACTTGAGACTACACCTCATGCATTATCTTACCTACAAAGGAAGGTAGTACTTCTACTCAAAGCCATTGCTAAAGACTGAATTAAATTTCCTTGGAAGTAACATACATGAGGTATGTTTATCTACCTCTATCTTTTCTATTTCCCGCCTTAAGTATTTTGAAAATGTAAAAGCAATTTAATTTGCTGCTTCCTTTCTACTAACCAATCTAATCAATCGAGCCAAGTAAAAAATGGCAAAAAACTGTTTTCAAAACTGTTTTCACTTTGCCATTTTCCCAAACACACAAAACTTAAGCACTCCTTGATCTTAATTAAGATGACATAGCACCAAGGGGACTGAACCACCTCTCTTTTATACTTGTCTACTTCCTGTAATACTGTATAATTAGGAACAAGAGACAAGGTGATGTATTTATATCAGTACTTACTGAATTACTAATTAAATGCTTTAATAACCCAACAACTACATGAACATAATCCAATGGGATCAAATTATTCCTATATAGTTATTTTTTTATCAGAAACAAGTTAGTACAAAAATGTCTCTGAACTCCACAAGGTACATAAAGGTAAACCCGCATTTCTCAGTTATTACTTGTAGCAATAATGTGTACCTGCTGGAAATGACTTAAAGAACAGAAACATTTAGAATTTATTTTCATAATCACCACCCTTTACACAATATCTACTCATTCAATAAATAATCAATGGACATCTGTGTACCAGGTGCTAAGGAAGGCAAACTTATCTGTAGAAATGTTCAGAGGAGTCAGAAGGATAATTCAAAACAAATTCCTAAAAACCGGTAAGTCTTTGATATAAGGCTTCTGTTATTGGGAAATTATATTTAAAAACCAGAACATGTGATGTCCTGGTGATAACCAACACCTGAAACCTCCAAATGGATCCTGAACGGTTTGGGATGCTACGAGCACAAGCTAAGACATCATAAAGAAACATCTAATTTGTGTTAAATCTCATGTCAGTATGATAACATAGATTAGTAAAAGCCACATGATGTTTTATAGAGCGATCAACAGAGAAATCATGAACTAAAACCAGCAAAGAATGACACTTCTGCTTTCTTTGGTTGTCATTTACTTTACATGTTGTTACTGATCCGTTTTAATTTTCCTATATGTGTTATAAGGCAGGGGTCCAACTTCATTCTTTTGTGTATGGAAATACAGTTGTCCCATCTGCTGAAGAAACTATTCCTTTCTCATTGAATGGACTTGGCACTCTTGTCAAAAATCAATTAGCCATTGATATACGGGTATATTTCTGGACCATCGATTTTATTACATTGGTCTATATTTCCATTCCTATGCCAATACCACATTGTTCTGATTACTATAGCTTTGTAATAAGTTTTGAAATTAGGAAGTGTGAGTTATTCAACTTTGTTGTTCCTCAGAATTGTTTTGACTTCTCAGGGCCTCTGGCAATTCCAACTGAATTTAAGGATCAGCTTTTTTATTTCTGTAAAAAAAGGCTATTGGAATTTTGATGGGAATAGCTCCGGAGAGTATTGATATGTTAAC